ATAGGTTAAAAAAAACTAATTTAGCGCCTTAGAACTTTTCTTAGATATTACTAAAAGTAATTATAGCATTATAAGCTGCTTTAAAGCATAGTAAAAACTTTATTTTTATAATATAAGTAATTTAGTTATGCATAAGGTTTTTAGCTTAGCGCCTATATGCTTTTTTTAAAGAAGTAAAACAACCTACATTAAGTAGCTATAAAAGGTGTAATAAGTAAAAAGGTATATAAATAGTAATAATCTTATTATTTTTATAGTATTACTAGAAATAAAGTAAGTTATAGCTCTTATAGCTGTTAATAACTAGCAGATAGTAGCTGCTAACAGTACACTTTTTTATATGCGTGTTAAAGTGCTTTAACTAGTCTAGACTAAGCTAATTAGTAGTCTAGCTGCGCTTAAAAATTATAATAACTTAATCCTAGAGTAGATTTTCCTTCTTATACTAGTTTAAAAGGTAGTTGCTACTCTAAAAAATAATAAAGAGCAGAATAGCCTACCTTTTAGCATTAATGCTCTAGATAGCTATTATCTACTTCTAGTTACCTAGCTAAACTGCTTTTAGCTATTCTTATCTCTCTAAACTTATAATAACTGCTCTAGTAAATATCTAGCCTATTATAAACTTTATTTTATTAAAGTTATACATGTTGTTATCTTAGATGCTATACTTAGCTTTAATATTCTTTATAAAGTTAAACTAGCTTTAAATTACTATAAGATCTTTATAAAAAGCTTTTTTATAGTTATACTTACACTTAAACTTTACTTTAAGCTCTAAGTAACACTTAACAAACATATTAGGCTAGTTTATGCTAACATAGCCTATATTACGCTTAGTGTGTAAAGAATTAGCTATATTAGCTATAGCTACTAGCTAGGGGGGAAATCCTTACATATTTAGCTTAAGTATGTGCTAAATAATTACTTACTTCTTGTTATTATCTAGCTTCTATAAGTTAGCTATATAATTAGCTTAGAAAAGTTGTCTAGTGCGTTAGTTACTTATTATCTTTTAAGAGACTTTATAAATAGCTGTAGTGTGTTAGTTAAAAAGTGTTGCGTCTTATTTAAAAGCCTAAAGCATAAGCTGCATTTAATGTTCCTTTAACATGTTTAAGTAGTGTTATTAGAAATGCATTAGTGTAAGAAGAGTAGTGTAGTAGAGTTTAGCAAAAGTAAGCAACTTAAGTGTGTGAGCAACTCGCCTATGAAGTACGTTACTGCCTAAAGCTACTTTTAAAGTTAAAGATATATAACATCTTTGCACTAAATGTACTTTATAAAGACCTCTAAGATCTACTTCTAAAATAAGAACTTTTAAAACCCCTTAGAATTACTATTAATAAAGTAAAAAAGTAAAAAGTAAAGAAAATACTTACTAGTAAGCTTTACTAAAAAATGCTTAAGTACTAGGTAAAATAAGTAAAACATAACTCTAATCTAGTCTAGTATAAGGCTTTAAATTTTATAAGTTTTCTTTATAAACTAAAAGCTTTTTATAATAAGTATCTAAATTAGCTAAGACTTTTAAAGGCCTTATATAAGTAGATTAAGGCTTTTAAAGCTAGTGTAAAAGGCATAGATTACTTAGCAAATAATAAGGTATAAAAGTAAAAAGTAAATTTATAGTTATACATAATAGTATTACAACTTTATAGACATTACACTAAGAAGGTCTAATAGTAAGCTATTAGACACCTTTAAACTCTTCTTTACTTCCTTCTTTACTTTTCTTTCTTTTCTTTCTTCTCTTCTCTCTTCTTTTTAGACTTCTTTTAAACTCTCTTTACTTTATCTTTAGCTACTTAAGAGCACTATAATGTTTACTTAAAAGTTAGATACTAGAGCTTTTAAAGCTAAAACCTAACAAAGCAACTTAGTGTTTTAGTAGAATAAGGCTACTTAAACACTAGCTGTAGAAAGCTTAGCCTTCTAGCTCTTTACAACCTGCGCTACCTACGCTAGGTTCTAAGTAAACTTTAAAATAGCCTTAAATGCCCCCTTTTTATTCTTCTTACTCTCTATATTTTAGGCTGCTGCCTATAGATTAAGATAGCTTTAAAAGACTAAAAATTTCTTTTTATAATAAAAGAGAACCTACACGCGTGTTAGTAAACTATACTCTAGCAGTATTAAACTATATTTATATAAGGTTGCATTTTTTATTATATAAAGTGTAATATTTACATTTTTTTAATCTAAAGAACTAATAAAAAAACTTAACCTAAAGGCTGTAAGTAAGAGTGTAGGCAGCCTAAAGGCAGATAACTTAAAACGCCTCTAAAGAGGCTCTAAAAGAGGGGCAGAGCAGCATAGTAATTTTCTTTAATGCTATAATTAGTTAATAGACTAAGCTATAAGATGTTAGGTGCATAATAATACCTATAAAGTAGAGATTTAGATAATAGCTAAAGAAGAAACTAATAATATTAACTAGACTATATAAGTAAGGCAAGTAAACACTTATTACTATAAATAATAAATTTACTATATTAATAATAACTATACTACTAGTTACTACTAAACAAAAACATTATAATAAAAGTATTATATTAGTATTAGGTTTTTAGTTTATTCTTTAGTAATAAAAATTTTTAGTTAAAATAGTTATACTTATTATATTCTATTTAAATTAGTTTTAAAGTATTTTTAAATACTTTTTAAACACTACAGATAAAGACTATTAGCCTATAAAAAAGGGGGTAGTGTAATAATTCTATAAATTGTTCTATCTTAGGTTACTTAGATCCTATCTAAAGGGTCCCTATATTAGCCCTAACTATAACTTAACCTAGTCCCCTGCAGTTACCCCTATTCTCTTATGTATTTAGTTGCACCTTGCCTCTGTAGCTAGCTTAGTAGTTTTCTAATATTCTTTTGTACAAGGCCTATAGGTGTTAATGACATTCCCAGGTTCAGAGTCCCCACGCACTCCCATATGCCTCTGAGTGGATTCCCACCGCATTCAGACCCATTGTCTTGCCTGCGCTGTTACAGTATTTAGTTGCACCTCTTCTCTTAGCTAGCTTAGTAGTTTTCTAATATCCTTTGTACAAGGCCTATAGATGTTAATGGCATTCCTAGGTTCTAAGTCTCCACGCACTCCCATATGCCTCTAAGTGGATTCCTACCGCATTCAGACCCATTGTCTTGCCTGTGCTGTTACATAATTAGTGTTAAATAGGCTCTTTTAGCTAACTGCTTATAGTATAAGCACTTAAGTAGCAAGAGTAAGAGTAGTGTACAGTGTGCACAGCGTACAAAGTAGGTAGAGTGGGGGCAACATGTTTCTAGTTCTATTGCTCTGTCTTTTCCTCTGTTAGAGGAAAAGGGGAATATCTAGATGTTCGCGCACAGAGGTTTGCGTATAAGCATTATGTAACATAGTTACATGATCCTTCTCTCGCGCGATAACTATCTAGACTGTAACACTATTGCTATGTACAGACATTAAGTATTTTTATTTTTATCTAAAAAAAATTTAGCTTATAATTATTTATATTTATAAACTTTTTTTTAAATTTTTACTACTTTACCTTAATTTCTTATACTTTAGAAATAGAATAATTACTAGTAAAATGTTTTAGTTTACTATAATTATAATAGTTACTAGAAGTTATCTGTCTTTTAAAGGCAGGTGTCTAGCTAGGTTGTTAGTAGGTAGCGGGGGTGGACTAGGGTACTAACACAGGTGCAGGTTAGAGTGCACTAGAATAGTATACTGCCTTAGATGTATTACTAGACACTTTTTAAAATTAATTTATAATAGGTCTAATATTAAAATATTAAGTATAGTTAATAGTTTACTTTTAAATAGTAAAAGTGTTTCTTTTTTTTATGTTATAAGCTATTAAGTAGGCTACTATTATCTTAAAAAAGCCTTTTTTAAGTGTGTTTAAACTCTAAGTTTAGTACTTTTAAGCTAAGTAGTATTTTCTTTTATAAGTAAAAAAACTATTTTAACTTTAATATAAACTGTCGCGTATACTGAGAGCCTTGGCTGGGGCTCAGAGCCTGGGACGCAGCTCGGGATCTAGAGATATTCTGTTCCGAAGCTCGGTGTATATAAGGAGAGCCCTCAGCTCTCTTAGATAGCAGAGTCACTTCACCCGATCTTCTAAACAGCTACTGCCAGGCTATTTTATCCTCCACATAAACTCTTTAACAGTAGCGCTAATAAAGTAAGCTTTAAAAGTAAAAAATACTTTTTTTAACTTATTTTTAAAGTTTAAAACACTTATTACACTTTTATTTCTTTATTACTAGTTTATAAAAGCTTAATTTTTTTTTATATTTCTAAACTAAAAGTTGTTTAATTTAGCTAGGTATCTAGGCTCTAGGTATTTCTTTGCAATACTAGTAGTGTGTCTTTATACTAACACTATGCGTGTACGCTTACTCTAATAGTAATTTAAATTAATTTTAAGTTTATTTATAATAAAGCTTACTATTATTTAAATGTAAGTTTTTTACTATCTATAAAGTTTTTAATTTTAAGTGTGTGTTTAGTAAAGTAGCTTTAAAAAGGCTTAAAAGTGCCTAAAAAGTTTTTTACTATTAGTATAGTAAAAGTAATTTAAAGTAATATTAAAAGTAATTTAGTAGTTAGTAAAAGTTAATTAAAACTAATAGTTTTTAATCTAGTTAGCTACTTAATTTATACTTTTAATTAAGTAACTTAGTTTTTTAAAGCTATGTTACTATCTTAAAGAATTAGAAAGCGTTTTAGCTACTAATCTTAGAGGGCTGTAACGCTGTTTTCTAAGGTTAACTTGCCACAAAAGTTCTCTAATCCCGCACTAGATAGCTAAAGCCTATGCGCTCTTCGGATTACCTACCTTAGCTAGCGCAGGCGCCGCTAGCTACAGGGATTAATTATGTCTCCTGTTAGTAACGCGGCGACCCTAACGTTACTTGCTCTTCTTCACGCCAGCAGCATGTTAACCTAAAAGGAGGCTGCTCTGCTTGCATACTTAAAGCACTTCACTCGCCCTTTACAGACATACAGGCATGCACCGCCTCCTGCTTTTTTTTTCCCTTCACCTAGTTAGCTACACGGCTGCCCTCTGCTGCGCTTTTCCACTAGCAGTGTCTACGGTAACCCCTCCCGCACGTCTCTCCGTACCAATGCGCCATGCGACGACGCCTACCGGTCAAAGACTCTTCTGAGGAGAGCGAATATGCGGACTCCGACGTAGACGACGGTGCCGGGTCGGATACAGATCTGACAGACGTCGGAACATGTAGTGACGAGGATACTGACAGGGTGTGGCTCTTCGCTGAAAAAGACTATCTGCCTAAGTACTACCACTAACAGCTAGAAGCGTTCAATGAAACAGAGTACACTAAAGAGGACTACAAAGATAGCAGTACTCGCCTGCTAGACTGCATGGAAGATTAGTGGAACTAGTAGATTGCAACCGGCCTCGCAATTCAGGATATGCGATGCTGACGCAGTATAGATGCTGGACATTCCTTAGGAAAGACCACCTCTGTGACTATGCGACCGTGTCTGTCTGCACTCTGCACACGTTCTTTGACTGGCTACTCAGTCACTGCCAAGGGAAGGGAGGAAGGAGACGCAGAGGAACTAAGTACGCTAGCTCCCTAGGGACGTACTGGAAGGTATACCGGCTGGTATATGAGAGAGCAGCGGGTTTTAAGCTAGATGGAAAAATGAACCGGAGCATGCACAAGGTATTTACTTCCCGCTTCTAACTTTATAAGTGTGTTAAGTCTAACATCACTGTAGGTGCTAAGGAAGCTAACTAAAAAGCACAGCTTAAAGAAGGTAGGGCAAGATAAGGCTTGTATGTATGTAGAGGATCTGAATCTAGTGCTACAAACAAACCTAGCAACAACTGAAAAGAGATATCCCCACGGACGCTGTAGGATCCAGGTTCAGTTATATCTACAGATAGCAGGCTTTACAGTGAATCGGCCGCAAGCTAACTACTGTTCTTAATTTGTAACACTTTTACGCTTAGTAATAGTTTATATTACTATTAATAGTTAAAGCTAAAGTTTTACTACTAATGTATACCTTTTACTATTCTAAGCTCTGCTTTTCTAAGACATTTATGAATTAGCGTAGTATGTTATAACGTACTTCATGGGCAAGTTGCTTACACACCTAAGTTGCTTACTTTTGCTAAAACCCTACTACACTACTCTTTTTATACTAATGCATTTCTAACAACACTACTTAAATGTGTTAAAAGAATGTTAGATGTAGCTTACACTTTAAGCTTTTAAATAAAATATAATACTTTTTAAGTAACATGCTACAGCTATTTATAAAGTCTTTTAAAAGATAATAAGTAACTAACACACTAGATAACCTTTTTAAGCTAATTATATAGCTAACTTATAAAAGCTAGATAATAATAAAAAGTAGGTAATTCTTTAGCACATACTTAAGCTAAATGCGCAAGGATTTCCCCTCTAGCTAGCAGCTATAGCTAATATAGCTAATTCTTTACACACTAAGTATAATATAAGCTATATTAGCATAAACTAGCTTAATATATTTATTAAGTGTTACTTAAAGCTTAAAGTAAAGTTTAAGTGTAAGTATAACTATAAAAAAGCTTTTTATAAGAATTTTATAGTAATTTAAAGCTAGTTTAACCTTATAAAAAATATTAAAGCTAAGTATAGTATCTAAAATAATAATATATACAACTTTAATAAAATAAAGTTTATAATAGGCTAGATATTTACTAAAGTAGTTGTTATAAGTTTAAAGAAATAAGGACAGCTAAAAGTAGTTTAGCTAGGTAACTAAAAGTAGATAACAGCTATCTAGAGCATTAATGCTAAAAAGTAGGCTATTTTACTTTTTATTATTTTTTAAAGTAGTAACTACTTTTTAAACTAGTATAAAAAGAAAATTTTACTTTAAAATTAAGTTATTATAATCTCTAAGCACAGCTAAACTACTAATTAGCTTAGTCTAGACTAGTTAAAGCACTTTAATGTGTATATAAAAAAGTGTACTATTAGCAGCTACTATCTACTAGTTATTAATAGCTCTAAAAGCTATAACTTACTTTATTTTTAGTAATACTATAAAAATAATAAAATTATTACTATTTATATGCTTTTTTACTTATTACACTTTTTATAGCTACTTAATGTAGGTTATTTTACTCTTTTAAAAAACATATATAAGCGCTAAGCTAAAAACCTTATATGTAACTAAATTACTTATATTATAAAAATAAAGTTTCTGCTATGCTTTAAAGTAGCTTATTAGCAGAGCTTGCTCTGCTTATTATTAGCGGAGCTTGCTCCGCTCCTTTCTGTGGACTTTGGTTTTCTTCGGTTAGGGCTTGGCAGCCAAGAATTACTGCTTTCAGCCTTTTTGGGCTCACGTAAGCATAAAAACGGCAGATCCTCGGATAATTATTTCCTGCGCGAAAACCAAAACCTCGCTGCGCGTGTTGTCTAATACCCGTCTAATACCTCCTGCTACAACCCACAACATGGTACCTCTGCTATTCAACGCTAATAAACCTCCCCCACTCTGCGATGATTGTCATCACCCTATGGATCCACAGAGAGACAGGACGTTCCTCCGATGGAAGGTTCGATGTGCGCCCTGCAATACACGAATCCAGGTGTCAGATTGAAGCACTGTTTCTGGGCTTCCTGAGATGAATGATGGGTTTGGATATGATGTATAGGATGATTGATTAATTTTATTAATTGTGTTTTTGTTTATCAATCCTTTTTCTGCTCTACTCGTGTTGCTCGGCTTTTTGTTCTGCCGATCCGAGTCCCTCGCGCACTAGCCCTATGCGCGACCAGCTTGCAACATGCTGCAATTTGCTGCAATTTGCTGTAACATGCTGCAATTTGCTGCAATTTGCTGCAACATGCTGTAACATGCTGCAATTTGCAGCAACATACTGTTCGAGCTTATTGCTCGTACTATGTAGCAGCTTTCGTCAAACGTTCCTCCTGTCTTGACAGTAGGTGCGCATATCTGACACCAGGCAAGGAAGCGCCCTACCCAGGGCAGCCCTATACCTCCACCGCCAGCCAAGAGGCGCGCTCTTGCTGATATCACATATGTCGCAAATAACAGACTACAACCCTATATCCCGCCGTCGTCTCCTCTAGTACCCCTATGTCGTTATTGTTCTACGCCATTAGACCAGGCAAATGACACGTTTAAAGGAAATGGCAGGTAGAAGACTTTATGTTAAAAGTGTTGCTAATTAAAGAGTAAGGTTAACATTTATACTATAAATAAGGAACTAGCACACGTATCGCCTCCTATAAACCTTAGCCTATTAAGCTCCCTTCTTCGCAACATTCCTACACAACAGACGCCTTAACAATCTCCCTAATACAAAATCCCTAGCCTATTAGGCAACCTCTCTAATATACCACCTGTGCTATTTACTCTAATTAGTTTAAGTACATAATATACCTAAAAGCTACTGTTAACATAGAGAAGGTTTTAGTCTACACCCTCTTAGTTGCAAAGAGCAGGTACAAATAAAAACAACCTTAGTAATAGTTTAGATAAGGACATTAATGTAGATATCTTCCTAGATGCTAAGCGCTGTGCGTACAATTTTCTATCTACACCTGTACCTATAAATTTTAATAATGTTAAATTTCTTAAAGACTAGGCTATAACTACTAGAAGTTAATAAGGGCTATATTAACAACTTTTATAAAGGTCTACTTAATATTAAGTTAGATACATGCACTACCTATAATTAAAGGTAGTTTAACATAGAATTAAATTAATAAAGTACTTATAAAGAGTGCGCTACTAATTTGCTTAAATATAGATATAAGAAGAAATTTATTCTACTTTAAAAAGACATAAATAACTTTAATTCTAGCCCTTTACTAAACCTTCTTAAGTTAACTACTACTAAAGAGCAACTACTAGCATATGTATATGTTAATATAATAAACTTCTCTACTAGAGTAAGTAAGCACTTTATGCATTATAAATAACTACTAAGTCTTTTATTATAACTTTAATAAAATGTAAGTGCTAATGTATTAGTATTAGACAAGGTATTAGACTTATTAATTTATAAGTACTTAGCTAGCTGCTATCTATAGTAAGCGCATTACTATCTAGGCTTAAGATGTGCAGCTTGTTATTTGCATTACTTAGAATTTTAGCTAGTACTTTAACTTTGCTAATAAGTACTTGTGTAGACAGACCTACTAAGAGGTGTTCTCTTACATAGCATTTATAGGTATATAGGTCTTTATATAGAATTTATAAAAATATAGTTTATAAGTTTTAGTCTACAGACTACCTTTTATTATCTGCTCTGCTTATAGTCTTCTTTTATAGGCTTCTTCTAATGCAGTCTTCTTCTCTAGAAAGAGTTTAATAAGTGACTTAAAACAAGCTCTGCTTATGCATTCATTTATGAACTGTTATAGTATGTTA